ACGCTTTTATCACAATAATACTAGTATTTTTTTTCATAATTATTTTAAACTTATTTTAAAAATTATTTTTAACTTTTTAGTTCGATGTGCTTTAAAAGCGTGTTTTTTTAGTTTTTTAAACTATATTTATTTTTAACTATATTTATTTAACACGCTTATATTAGTTTCACCTGTATGTATGTTTGTAACTCTCCAAACGCCAAGCATTATCGCATATTCCGTCGTCTAGACTAGACTGTCATAACGCAATCACCCCACTCCACGCCTTGCTCATCACACGCCGGCAATACTATTCCTGTATAAATTTATTTTTGGTTTTCGTACCCGTACACACGTGCGTGTCATCAATATTATATATTATATAATATATAATATTATCACAATCATACTAGTATTTTTTGTTCAAATTATTTTAAACTTATTTTAAAAATTATTTTTAACTTTTTAGTTCGATGTGCTTTAAAAGCGTGTTTTTTTAGTTTTTTTAAACTATATATTTTTTTATGTATCACACGCGAGTTTCTACTAAATAAAATAATACAAATATATTTATAATACTATACTGCTATTAAAAGTGGACTATTATCTCAATTTGAAGACGAATCGAGACCGGGTCCTTGAATTCATTTAAAGACAAGGACTGGACCGATGAACTTTTTAAGGGATCGTAAAAAAAATGACCGATAATTTTTAACTACAGACCAACTAGGACCGGACCAATTTATTATTTTAAGTATAAAACCTAACCGGACCGAACCGTGGTCTAGTCTGGTTCAAACCGAACCATGCAGAGCTCTAACCTAAGGTATAAACGGCGGTAGGAATATATAAATATGTATACGTAAGGCGCATTACAAGCAGTCAAAATAAAAATTTGTTTATATATATATATACAGGGTGGCCCACCACTCACCGACAACTTAAATAACTTTTGATCCAGTTAATATTTTTAGCTGATTTTTTTTTTTAATAATAGTTATACGTTCGGTCTATAGCTATATCTCAATAATAACCTGTATATATATATATATATATAATTGATATCGTGCACGCGTGTACGGGTACGAAAACCAAAAATATAAAATTATACAGAATTAGTGTTGCATTCGATTGGTGAGCGGGGTGGGGTGAATGCGTTACGATCGTCTAGTCACAAAGCCGTAGACACGTGCGCGTGGAAAGTTACAAACACATATCACACAACACACATACAAGTGAAAATAATATAAGTGTGTTAATAAAGGTAAGTGCGAATATTTATTTGCATGCCTTACTTCTTAATAAAAAATCACGTAATAAACAAGAATAAGAATAAGTGAGGTAGGGATATTTTATTATTTGATAACTAATTAAAGTTCTATCCCCGAGATACCACTTCATCCTTACCCCATTTTATATTTTATACATACATAATATACACCACCCCTCCCAATTTTTTTGTTTATTACACTTATGGCCAGGGACGACATAAAATTTAACACAGACCATATTATACAACGATAACCGATAAATCATACACTCAAATCAAAATTTTTGTGAGGACTGAGGGGGCGAGAATCTGTCCTGGGAGGGTGACTGCCCACTCTCGTCCCCTTTGATGCCGTCCATGCTTATGGTAATTAGAAAAGATTGTCAACTTTTTTTTTGTTCATCAATATTTTTATAAAATTATATTATTTAACCTCACGAAAAATCTTAAATACAGCCCTTTAAGACTTATTGTATATTTAGTTACAATAACTTAGTATATATACTTATGTAATGCGGACATTAAAAAAAAAATAGTTGACACTTAATAAATTAAATAGGATGATACTATAAAGTAGTTAATAACAGATAAATAAATATAATCGCATGTGACTAAAAACGTTTTTTTCACTATTGAATTTAATCATAATAATATAATCTTATATAAATATAATATCATATAATCATTTTTCTTAATTAGTAACCTTTTATAAAATGACTTAAAAATTTGAAAATTCTAAATACTTTTTTATTGAATTAATGAATTTTAAACAAATTGACATATTTCAATGTTTTTGTGTTTTTAATTTTTAAAATTCCAATTATTATCTGACCGTGGTCTCATCTAGCTACTTGTTGAAGATTCTTGTATTGTAATTTTTTTAAATTTCAATAAATTAACAAAATATTTTGTGTTGCTGAAACATAAGTTATATTTTTGTAACCTTTAAATATTAACATAATTAACACAATATTAAGAAATACTACTAAACTATAATGTCATCCTTATATAGAACATTGTTTTACAATATTAATAGAATTTACAATAATAAAAAATGATTATAAATCTATATGTATTATAAATATTCTTTTGATAATAATTTAATCATGTCACTTAATAATAAATCCCATTTTTTTGATAGTTGAATTTCATTTTTACGATTATGCAGATCGATAAGCTGGAATAACTGTTCCTTTAAGTCATATTTCTGAAAATATCGAGAATTTAAAAAATAACGTTTTTTCGTACATGTTAATTGATTTTATAGATTTGATGCGAAGCTGAGAAGGTATTAGTTTTACTATGATGTGTAATTTTTTTTTATGTCTGTTACCGTTATTGTTCTCTTTGTTTGTAACAATTGACCTGTTTCCTGAATTACTGAACCCTTTAGAATAAAACTTTACATAGTCATTAACCATTAATAACTCAAAACTGTATTAGTTTCAATCAGATCAGAAAACTTTAAAAATCATCAATAGATAGTTCATTATGGCGAAAACCAAAAAAAATGTCCGCTCCTAACCCATAATTTCTCTCATCAAATATGTGGGATCAATGCCATCAATGATAAAGCTAATATATTTACCAACATTTATACATAACTTTTTAAATACATAAGGATATAATATCTCTCATCAAAATTAAAGAAGTAGATAACTATTTATCATGTCCCGTACTTATGTCTCTTCCTCCTAAGTCTACAAGGCCAGTGAAGTCGAGTATCTAATCCAAAACACATCTAGGCGAAAAACTCCAGGCTACGAAAAACTAATTAGTTATGGAGTATTCCTTGATATTTTCGCATAATGGCTTCCTTTTTAACTTAAAATCCATCCTTCCAACAAACTATTATTCAAGTCATACCTAGAAAACATACATTTTGTGGAACGTTTTGGCTCATCCATAACAAATATAAACCAAATTAGAGCTAGAGTACCGCGAGGAGCTGTTGTAACTCTCTTATAGTATACAGGGTGGCCCACCACTCACTGACAACTTAACTAACTTTTGATCCAGTTAATATTTTTAGCTGATTTTTTTTTTAAATAATAGTTATACGTTAGGTCTATAGCTATATCTCAA